TTAGCTCGCCACTTGCACGCAATCAGAATGTGTTCGTGTGTCAGCCTTGAGCTATAATAGGATTGTTTGCAATCCAGCTAGTAAGAAGTAAAATAGATGACTTCAGGGCACTGGTAGGAATGGAGGATATAGTGGGAATAACTGAAATATGGTTAAATGTAGATGATTTTGATGACAAAAATGTCTTTAAAACACAGGTTTATCGGTTATTTAATGGGGACATGAGTGGTTTTATATGTAAATTGTGAGATACATCCTGTTGAAGACGAGGATACCGAAGATAATCGCAATTAGAGTGAATCCATTTGGGTTTCTATTAGTAGACATAAAGAGGAAATGCTTTTACTGGGAATTTATTAGAGACCACCAGATAATACTGATGAATTTAGTGACGAACTTTACAGTGAAATTAAGATTGCAGCTGTTAATGAGGTCATAATTATGGGTGATTTTGATTTCAGGAAATGCTAGAGTCAAACCACGAGTGAGAAAGATCTTTGGAAACTGTGCAGGATGTTTTCCCACCAATTGGTCAAGAAACCTACCAGATACAATGCTATATTAGATTTATTGTTAACTTCTATTATATAGAAATTGTTGAGAGAGTGGAAATTGGGAAAAATCTGGGTGCAAGTGATCATTTTTCTATTTAGTTTCATAATTTGCTGCATATGGAGATGCGACAAGAATTATCTGTTTTGAATTGAGCAGCTGAGTTACTTGGAGACACTGATCAGATGTGGAAAATTTTCAAGATAAATTTTAAAATATTCAAGATAAACATATTCCTTATAGAAAGAAAAGAGTAGCTGCAAGTAAAAAACCAGGCTGGCTCACAAAGAGGTTAAGAGATAAAATGAAAAAAAGCATCATTAATTTACGAAATTTAAATTGACTGGTATAACGGGGGACTTAGAAGATAACAGAATATCAAGTAAGTTAATCAAAGAGGAAATTAGGACATCAAAAAGGATCTATGAAAAAAAGATTGGCTGAAAGCGTAAAAAAAATATTTACGTATATATAGGATAAACAAAATGTTAGGATAGGGGTAGGATCCTTGAGGGGTGATAAAGGAAGTCTCGTATCTGATGAGTATCAGGTGGCTTGGTTATTAAATTCTGCTTTTTTTCAGCTTTTACTCATGAAGACTTAAGTGGTATTCCTCATCTTGAACATTTGAAAGAATGAAACAAGGTCAGACAATATGACAGCATTAATTCTGAGCTTGTTAAGAAAAAACTGGAAGTTTAAAAAAAGATTAGGCTACTGGGCCAGAAAATATTTTTTCTCAAGGGTTTTGAAGGAGGTTAAGGATTGGATACGTGAGCCAATTGCTACTATTTTTTGTAAGTCCTTGAACAGTGGACAGGTACCACAGGATTGGTAGTTGGCTAATGTCACTCCTTTTTATCAAGGAAGGTAATAATAAATTTTCCCAGTAATTATAAGCCCATTAGTCTTACAACAGTTGTAGGAAAAGTTTTGGAAAGACTGATAAAAGATGCTTTGCCAAGCCATTTAACAAAGTTTAGAATTTTATTGGATAGTCAACTTGGTTTTACTTAGGGAAAATCTTACCTTACAAATCTTTTGACATTCTTTGAAAAGGTTACTGCTTATGTAGATGAGGGTAAGAGGGTAGATTTGGTGTATCTGAATTTTCAGAAAGCATTTGACAAGGTGTCGCATAAAAGGCTTGTAAAAAAAATATATCTATAATTGTGGGGGATAAGTTAGCTAATTGTATAGAAGAGGGGCTGGACAGAAGAAAGAAGAAGGTTGTTATAAATGGAGTTCAGTCAAATTGGATTAATGTCACAATTGGGGTACCTCAGAGCTCAGTCTTAGGACATTTGCTCTTTCTGATTTACATCAATGACATAGATGTGAGAATGATTAATGAATTACTTAAATTTGCTGATGATATTAAGGCCTTGGGTGTTGCTAGCTATGAAGAGGATGCTTGTGATTTACAAAAGGATTTAAATCATTTAGTGAGATGGGCAAATAAATGGCAAATGGGTATTAATTATATATATAATAAATACAAGGTAAAGCATGTGGGTTATCATAATTTGAATTAAAAGTATAATTGGGATTTGAATAACCTTAACATGAAAGAAAGGAATCTTGGTGTAATGGTTGATCAGTCTCTTAAGCTATCCAAGCAGTGTACTGTTGCTAGTGGTAAGGCAAATAGGATTTTAGATTGTATCTACAGAAATATTGAATACAAGTCTAAAGAGGTTATAATTTTATTGTTTTGGTCACTGGTTAGGCCACATTTCGGATATTTTGTTCAATCTTGGGCTCCTTACTTTAGGAAGAATATTGAATTTTTGGAAAAGGTTCAGAGGAGGGTTATTACAATGATGTCTAGGATGAATGGGTTGTCACACAAAGAGAAGTTGAGATCTCTGAAATTGTTTCTCTTGGAAAAAGAAGAGTTACTGGGGATCTCATTGAAGTGTTTAAGGTTACAAAAAGAA